CCACTAGATGCTGCTAAATCCTGCACACTTGTCCTCTACAAAAGCCTGGTTTTCACAAGTAGACAATGTTAACTAAGTTAACGGAAACAAGAAAAAAAAATCTGTGTTTTACTTTAAATAGAGTATGTTTTTATTTTAAAATATCTGAACTGAAAACATTGTTAAAGAGTCGCTCTGAGGGACAAACATCTGCCAAATCTGCAGCTCAGAGCTTAATGACAAGCTAACGTTGGTGGCATCCTTTCAGCCACAGCTGTTCAGTAAAGAAGCTCTAAAAGCCCACAGTCACCCTCCTGCTTCTATCCAGGGAACACAGTGCAGCATGAGGCAGTGAAAAAGCCAGATGTTCCATTCAGTGGTTGCTACAGACCACAATCACACTCACATGTAAGATAAGATAAGATATGCCTTTATTTATCTCACACTGAAGAAATTCACAGTGTTGTCAGCAGCAGTACACACAGAAATACACACACAATAGAAGAACAATGTACATATAAGAAATAGTGCAAACACAAGTACAAAAATACACATAAAAAGAGAATAGTGCAAATATAGAATATAAGAACGGGAATATATAGAACAAATATATATATATATATAAGCTATAGAAAATAAGGAATAAGATATTACAATGACAATATTAATAATAACAACAAAAGAAGTGCACAGATGACCAGAAACATGATCCCAAACACATGATAGCATTGAATCGTAACTGCTGCATCCGTAAATAAGGAGCAGTCTCTAATAAGTTGTTTCTATCAACTTGTCTGTCTGTTGTCATGTCCCCGGTCTCAGGGTGCAGAGGCACAACATAAAAGAAAGGTGAAGGAGGAGCAGGTATAAAAACAGGCTGTTTATTGCTATTATTACTTTTACACAGTTCAAAATGGTACTTACAAGTAAACCAAAAGAACAACAGAAGCCCGGCTTCAAGGTGGACTAATGCCAACACAACAAACAAAACAAACTATCTAGACCCCCGAAGCTGAACTAAACTCTGGAAGAAACATAAATAAACAAAACTACATTTGCTAAACCTGCCTCCCTAGATTAAGCAAAACAAGAGAAACAAGTTTTAAAGAAAGACGGCAGCCCACCCCCACTGCTTCTAACTAAAAGCAAAACATTTACAATTTAATATTAAATGAACCAAATAACGAGTGCTTCAAAATCCGAGTTCTGACACAACCAATCCAAATTCTAACAAAGAATCTATAACAATCATTCTCAGAAAGGACAAAAGATGATTTCAGGGACAACGAGGCTCTGCTGACATGAAAGCTGACTCCCCGCCAGCAGGATGACGGTGCTTAAGTACCGCCTCAATCCTCAGCCTCCCAGTGTCCCAACAGTGATGCTCCTGGGCTGCTCATGAGTGAAAGCAAAGATGTGGGACAAGAAGACGTCTCCCTCTCCCACAGAAAACAACACAAATCTGCCGTAACACTGTCATGAGCTCACATATTGTTTCTGCTGCCCCCCAAAAAGCTAAATAAAGGGACCACATCTAACTTTAGGCAACATGCTCTATCAGTGCTCTGATGTCTTGAAATACAGCCTCAACCTCACTCAGTCCTTGTTTTTCCATTTTTTCAGGTTCATCTATATGTTGGGGAAGGACACCTGGGTGGAGCGCTGGCCCTCGCCTGCAGAGTGCTCCAGCAGTCCCAGTCTGCAGGCCAAATGTCAGAGTCTTACTGATGCTGCGAAGGATTTGTCGGTGAACGGCTGCAGGCTGTAGAAGAGTCTGAGCAGCAATGGCACACACAATGGCTTTCCTGTGTCATTTTAACCCACTGTATGCAGTAGGGACTTTTTTTTTTCCCCTCCAAACTATATTTGGTGTTTTCGTTGTAAAAATGAGAACTGAGTGTAGCCAGTTATAAAAAAAAAACCCCACAAAATGTTTTTTTCTTTCTGCTGCTGCTGTGAATCTATGATAAGAAAGAGGAAGAACTCAAACCACTGACAGCAAAAAGTAGTCAAAGCGCTCTGAACAGCTCCCACATTGGTGCTACATATTTTATAGAAGGATTATTAATACACAGCAAAACAGTCTGATGTGCATGTTAGACAGTATGCTGGAGGAAAACAAGTAGAAAAGAGTGTGTGAAGTTCAGAGTTCAATAAATGTGAAGGAAGTACAAATTGTTATTCATAATATTAATCTGTCAATTTTTAAAAAACTTATTTAAAGACATTCTCTGACATCTAAGACATTTTTAGGAATGACAATTATTTACCTGGAAACAAAAAACTTTGAACTTTTATTTACATTTTTGCTTAAAATGTTTCATTCTCAGACTGGTCGGCCTCAGCATCATGTGAAATCACCGCTTAGCTGCTTCAATAAACAAACTATTCTAAATACCAGGCCGGAGGTTTCCTTTGTTCTCAGTGGGTTTTCTGGACTGTGCTGTACAAAGCAGCAGGATCTTCTCCGGTTTCTTGACCTCTGGTTCAGAGAAGGAAATAAAACAACCAGGTGAGCATATTATAGACATTAAATGGCATCTCGGAGTCATCAGTAAATTATAAAACAGGCAGAAAGACAACAAGCGTGTGCAACACTAACACACTGTTTGACTAAAAGCTAAGTCATTTCAAACACGTAGTTGGAAGAGCTGCTCACCTGCTGCCACTGGTACATTTGATGGACGAGTACACAACACCTTCGTCCTCTTTCTCCACACGTCTCCGGGGTTGAGCCGGCCCGGCGTTGGAGTAGAGACACTCTTCCTGGTTTTTGGAGAACTGGACAGTGGCATAGTGAAGGTCCTCCTGCTCCTCCTGTGCGCTCTGATTGGGTAGACGCTGCATGACCTAGAAAGATTATTTTCATATTTTTGATTTGTATCTGATGAACACAAGTTAAGGTGAACTTGAATTTATAGAGATCGAGGTAGAATTAATAATTAAAGCCGCAAGCGGCGATGGACGGGTCCTCGCCCTACGCTTGTCGGCCTTTGCGCACGGCAGGGTGTGGGGCAAACCTGCTCCGGGCGGGACTGTGATCCGGCATGTCGAGTTTGGGGCAGATCGGAGCAAGTGTGGCCTAGTTACGAGCCACTTCCTGTTTA